GCAGGATATACGGGACCGAGGAGGCGTACTGGAGACCACGAGCGTTGAGCCGGCACACCCCGTCCTGGCTGAATGCCCATCTTTGCACGACACGTGCGTGGTGCTAGCACAGGACGTACAGGACTGAGCCGGAACACTCGCGGCACAGTACGTGGCTCCGCATAACACGGAGCCTGCCCAGTCACACGCTTCCTAGCCTGAGTACGGGGAGTTGGCTCTGCTCTAACCCTAGGCTCCGCCAACCACCCTTTTAGCCGCCCCCAAAAAAATTATTGGGGCTGTCTCTCGGGCTTCCTCCTCGGCCGGTACCCTCTGCGATGCCGCTGCTCCTCTCTATAGCGCGCCTCCACAGTCTCCTCCCAAGGATGGCGATCCATTCCGGCCTGAATCTCCTCCCAAGTCCAGGATCCCTTCCCGTCCAGGATCTCCTCCCAGGTCCAGGCTGTCTGTTCCTGGACACGCTGCTTGGTCCTCTTTTGGTGGGATCTTCTGTCACGATCGTTTATGGAAGAGACGGACCAAGGCGCAGCGTGATAAGCGTACATTTTATTAAGTACTTAACTCACAACAAAACAACAAACAAACGAAACGTGAAGTCCTAGGTTACACAAAACAAACCTTAACGGAACAAGATCCCACACCGACTAGTGCCAAACAGGCTGCCTAAGTATGGTCCCCAATCAGAGACAACGAGTTACAGCTGCCTCTGATTGGGATCCACCCTGGCCAACATACAGTGGGGAAAAAAAGTATTTAGTCAGCCACCAATTGTGCAAGTTCTCCCACTTAAAAAGATGAGAGAGGCCTGTAATTTTCATCATAGGTACACGTCAACTTATTTTTTCTCTCCAGAAAATCACATTGTAGGATTTTTAATGAATTTATTTGCAAATTATGGTGGAAAATAAGTATTTGGTCAATAACAAAAGTTTCTCAATAGTTTGTTATATACCCTTTGTTGGCAATGACACAGGTCAAACGTTTTCTGTAAGTCTTCACAAGGTTTTCACAAGGTTGCTGGTATTTTGGCCCATTCCTCCATGCAGATCTCCTCTAGAGCAGTGATGTTTTGGGGCTGTCGCTGGGCAACACGGACTTTCAACTCCCTCCAAAGATTTTCTATGGGGTTGAGATCTGGAGACTGGCTAGGCCACTCCAGGACCTTGAAATGCTTCTTACGAAGCCACTCCTTCGTTGCCCGGGCGGTGTGTTTGGGATCATTAACATGCAGAAAGACCCAGCCACATTTCATCTTCAATGCCCTTGCTGATGGAAGGAGGTTTTCACTCAAAATCTCACGATACATGGCCCCATTCATTCTTTCCTTTACACGGATCAGTCGTCCTGGTCCTTTGCAGAAAAACAGCCCCAAAGCATGATGTTTCCACCCCCATGCTTCACAGTAGGTATGGTGTTCTTTGGATGCAACTCAGCATTCTTTGTCCTCCAAACACGACGAGTTGAGTTTTTACCAAAAAGTTATATTTTGGTTTCATCTGACCATATGACATTCTCCCAATCCTCTTCTGGATCATCCAAATGCACTCTAGCAAACTTCAGACGGGCCTGGACATGTACTGGCTTAAGCAGGGGGACACGTCTGGCACTGCAGGATTTGAGTCCCTGGCGGCGTAGTGTGTTACTGATGGTAGGCTTTGATACTTTGGTCCCAGCTCTCTGCAGGTCATTCACTAGGTCCCCCTGTGTGGTTCTGGGATTTTTGCTCACCGTTCTTGTGATCATTTTGACCCCACGGGGTGAGATCTTGCGTGGAGCCCCAGATCGAGGGAGATTATCAGTGGTCTTGTATGTCTTCCATTTCCTAATAATTGCTCCCACAGTTGATTTCTTCAAACCAAGCTGCTTACCTATTGCAGATTCAGTCTTCCCAGCCTGGTGCAGGTCTACAATGTTGTTTCTGGTGTCCTTTGACAGCTCTTTGGTCTTGGCCATAGTGGAGTTTGGAGTGTGACTGTTTGAGGTTGTGGACAGGTGTCTTTTATACTGATATCAAGTTCAAACAGGTGCCATTAATACAGGTAACGAGTGGAGGACAGAGGAGACTCATAAAGAAGAAGTTACAGGTCTGTGAGAGCCAGAAATCTTGCTTGTTTGTAGGTGACCAAATACTTATTTTCCACCATAATTTGCAAATAAATTCATTAAAAATCCTACAATGTGATTTTCTGGAATTTTTTTTCTCAATTTGTCTGTCATAGTTGACATGTACCTATGATAAAAATTACAGGCCTCTCTCATCTTTTTAAGTGGGAGAACTTGCATAATTGGTGGCTGACTAAATACTTTTTTCCCCCACTGTAGATCCACACGATCTAGAAAACACAACATAGAAAATACAACATAGAAACTCCACACCCTGACTCAACATTTAAGAGTCCCCAGAGCCAGGGCGTGACAATCAGTCCCCTGTAGATGGCGTGCCCTGTCCATAATAAGTCTCTACCTAGCAAGTTAAACTCTAGACATTATATATTCATACATTATTACTTTATCAAATTTAGTAACCCACTATACTATTAATTTCTCTTAATCCTTTTTACACCACTTACGTACGTCTACGTGTGGGTGTGCAAGTTGTATATTATAATTTTTTCCATTGTTACTTTATCAAATCTCTAGTAACCCATTATACTCTTCATATGTTACTTTATCTCTAGTAACCCATTATACCTCATTTACACTAGTGTTCTATTCATACAGGGGTTTAAATATTTACACTAGTGTTCTCTAGTAACAGCATATTCGGGAATAGTACTTTCTCCTTTCATATCTCTACATACATAATAACGTTGTAAATCAAACTCTACTGATGAGACATGTTATCTCTAATGAGACATATTAACCTCTGAGACATGTTATCCTCATTACTAATGAGACGTGTTATCATGTTATCCTCTAATGAGACATGTTATTATGTTATCCTCATTACTAATGAGACATGTTATCCTCTGAGACATGTTACCCACGAATGAGATCCTGAGACATGTTATCCTCTACCTGTAGATCCGACGGGCGGTGGTGGACAGAACTGTAGGTAACGTTATAGATCGAAAAACTCAGCTCACACAGAACTGGAAAACTCAGCTCACACAGAACTGGAAAACTCAGCTCACACAGAACTGGTTGGGGTATTCATTCACCTCTTTCACACCGGAGCTAGTCCCCTGATAGCTCTCATTCACTCAGTACTTAATAGCTACATTTCGATCCTCTTATTATCCAAATCAGCTTATTATCCAAGTTTCAATCCTCTTGTTATCAAAATTTCCATCAGCTTAATATCCACATTTTTATCAATCAGCTTATTATCAACATTTCAATCACGTCCTTTCCACACTCACAACTCGCACATCCAAATTCACTTAGTACTACTCCCAAACACACTCAGTAATCTACCTTATTACTCTGTGTGCATCTTCAACAATTCTCTTGTCGTTACTTCCTATGCACCATATCTATCTTCAACGGTTCTCTTGCCGCTACTTCCTATACATATAAAATAACACCCCGTGCTCAATAACACCTTGTGCTATTCCCTGTGGCTGCAGACCACGTAGACACTTCAATAAATGCCTATAGACAGCTGTCAGCGGGGCTTTCCATGGTACCGTTACTCGCCCTAGTCTTCTCTCTAAGACTAGCTCTAGCCTTCACAACTCTCATATGCATCTTCAACGGTTCCTCTATAGTCTATACAGCCGCCATAGTCTCTACAGTCGCCATAGTCTCTACAGTCGCCATAGTCTCTACAGTCGCCATAGTCTCTACAGTCGCCATAGTCTCTACAGTCGCCATAGTCTCTACAGCCGCCATAGTATCTACAGTCGCCATAGTCTCTACAGTCGCCATAGTCTCTACAGTCGCCATAGTCTCTACAGTCGCCATAGTCTCTACAGTCGCCATAGTCTCTACAGTCGCCATAGTCTCTACAGTCGCCATAGTCTCTACAGTCGCCATAGTCTCTCAGTGTCTATAGTCTCTCAGTGTCTATAGTCTCTCAGTGTCTATAGTCTCAGTAGTCTATATAGTCATAAATGCTACAGTCTCTATAGACTATAGTCTTGCTGCCATACATATAGAATAGCACCTCATGCTATTACTTAAGACTAGTGGTACCTTTTTATGCTTCATTTTATTGGTTTTATAATTTACTTTCATTTAAATTGACTTACTGAAATCAGTCGCCATGTCCCTCAATTGTTCGCGGATGATGTGTCTCCTCCTGGCCAGCTCACAGTAAGGGTCTGGTCTGGGCGGGTCCTCGTCGTCTTTTGGTCAGACGGGAATTTCCCTCACGCTTCATAAAATGCGCCACCGGTTTTCCTCGCAGACCCTCACGGGAAAGCTCCGCAGGCAGAATCAATCATCCTGTTCATTGTTGCCAAATTGTTGTGGAAATTCTACACAGGGACACTCGAAGTCAAACTTAAATCAATCATCCTTTATTGTCAGTTAACTAGAGAGGTTCCAACAAACTTGATACACCATAGTACACGTCTGTCCGGAGCTCTCGGGGCAGTCCCGTTAGTTCTCTTATATACTGCTTACACAGACAAGTTATATTTGCATGATTTAGCTTATTCATCATTCATAATTAATTCATCATTAACGTTTGGTGCATGCATGTGACCGACCAATACTGGTTCATGCATGTGACTGACCAATACCTCACAAGTCTTCTTCTCTCCAAGCTGAGACCTTAAAACTGAGATATCCCTTTCCGTTCTCAAAACAAGGTTCTGGGCGTACTTCCAAATTGCAGATACTGATAGTGAGGATTCCTCCCAGGCACGTTCAATCAGTCACTTGCATGAACACAGAAATTGGTTATTAGAAAAGCACAAACATAAAATGTTCCATTACAATATCAACCAACCTTGTAATTGCATCTCATATCTCATAAAGAGCAGAAGACAGCAAGATGACCAACTGTTGAATAGGTGTTCATAAAACATAACCAATGAAGATAATCTCCTACCTGTGACATGTAGTGCCTTACAACCATGGTGTAGATGGAGAGTATGTCTTTGATCTGAGCACTGTGGATCCCTGGAATGCCACCACATGAAATCTACAGGATTGGAGTCAATCTCTGGACGCTGGGGCAATTCTTGATCTATAAAAACAATCACAGAATACGTCCAGGGATTGAATAGTACACTAAAACAAACAAGGTTGGTAGTGATTTGATTAGGTGTTGTACCTGCTGCAGTTTCCACATCAGAGATGTCCGTCTAGCTGAAGTCCTCTAGTATAGTACCTCCTATCCTCCAGGGCAGTCTGGTCGTAAGCAAACAGCAAGTGGCCAGGGTGATACCACCCTTCTGCAACTCTAACATGAGGAGTCTGTAGAAATGGACAATATTGCAAAGCGGGAAAAGAATACTAAATAATTTCCAGTTCTGGAGGGGGCATTGTGCATGTTGTACAGTGCACATGAAAAGGGAGAGCAGTAAGAACTCACCTGAAAAACTCATAGTCATCAACTTCCTCCTCCCATATGAATTGGAAGAGAAGAGTTGTCTTATTGGAGAATTACTTCTTCCCCATCACATTGAGCACACTTCTGAAGATGTCTCTCCGCCTCACGTGTGTTTGGATGTCAGGCATTGAGTTTTGTTCTCTGTATGTTCTGAGGATGGTGTCCAGGTCCAAAATGACCTAAAACATAAAAATAATCTTGTAAAGAGACAGAATTCTACATGTTTTACTAAATGGATTGAAGAGGGAACTCAACTTACCTCCCCATCAGCAGTGACAGGCAGGGGAGACTACTATTTTCTCCTCATAATCATCCACCAAGTAATCGTGTCTAAATGAAAAACAGGGCATTAGAGTATGGTAAAGTGACCAGTCGAGTGGTTTGTTATGAGCTTATATATACACAGAGTCATAAAATAGATTCCACTGACATTGATAAAGGTCCAGTTAGAATAAAATATACAAACCTGTTAATTACGGGTGCTCTGTCTGTGGAATGACACAGAAAGACTTTATAGATGTTTCACTGATTGCACAACAAATACATTTCATCAAAGATAAATCACGTTCACCATTTTCATTAATTTACCTCGAAGCTGAGAATATAGATGGGGCCATGCCCGGCTATATGCCCCAGGAGAACTGTGGTGGGGTGTCTGGAACAAACAGCACAAAAGAGCCCCGTAGACACTGAAAAACATGGTTTACATATTATTAAGAATGCAGGTAGGGACACAAAAACACTTCATGTACAGATGCACCATTGTGTAGTTGCGTCCCACAATCAGAGATTATAAACTGGGTGCTTTGTTGGCAACCAGTTTATAATAGCAATAAGGCACCTTGGGGGTTTGTGGTACATGGTCAATATACCACAGCTAATGGCTGTATCCAGGCACTCCACGTTGCCTAAGAACAGCCCTTAGCCATGGTATATTGGCCATATATCACACCCCCTCGTGCCTTACTGCTTAATTGTATGCCAAGTGTGTGATCCTCCATTGTATTTACCTGAAGGAACAGTATGTGAAGGTGAATCTTTGTTCGGGTCATCTGGCGTGAGCTCCACTAAATCGCTTTCAGTCAAGCCTGAGGGTGGAAACACCATTTCAATCGCAATGCTCTCAAAAGGTGTTGTTTGTAATAATTTGTGTATATTCTTTCAATCTTTGCAGTCGTCAATCTCCCTGTGCTGTTAAGGTGCTTCTTTGGCCTTTTCCTCCATCAAGAGTAGTACTAGGGGGTGCTCAGGTTGTTGACTCTATGAGAAAGATGCACAGTAAGCATAATCTGGTTGAAAATAGTAAAGCACGGAAATGTAAATGAATCTAACTATGGTCAGACTCAGTAATATGTTGTCCTATAACACTGAGTCATACAGAAAATCAGAGGTTGATTATACCTGTTCAGCCTCAATGGCTGTGTTGTCTACCGGAGTCTCCTGTTCGTATAGTGGAATTGATGCTATGAGCACAGCAAACATGCCTATAGCTGCAAACTCCATCTCTATGTCCTTTGTCAAAATCATGACTGCAGCACTCTCCTCTCCTAACAGTGCAAGTTCCTCAGAGTTGTTTCTCTACCAAAACATGAACCTACTTTATGACTCTCCAGCTCTGAGTGGTTGGTCCTGGGAAGGGTGGATATTTGCATGAAAAAGAGACAAGACAAGCATTGCTTTCACCCATCACCTTCTCCTAAATTGAATCCATTCTCATGGATCTTTCTTAAACCTTTAAAAAGTTTCAAAATGACTTTTGTGCTCTGGTCTGATTGATCAATGTTTACATGTCATCTTATCGTAGAGCTTGTTCAGCTTCAGACATGTATGAAAGCAAGGAAATGGGTTAACTTTGACTCAACCTGTCCAGTTGAAAATGAGCCCAAATCTTTATATTCTGACATTTAATATAAACAATCTAATTCAGAGCAACAGTAGGCCTACAAATGCCTACCCTTCTTAAATTTTGTGGGTATACTATTCAATTCTGTGAGCGGACTCCTCTCCTGAAGAATCAGCAGGACTATTAAAATCAGACAACAATTACTCAAATTGAATAATGATTTCAGATCCACACCATGACAGCCAATAATGCACAATTCAGAACTACAAGAACAAGGTTAGTGTTCCAAGGTATTCCAGTGTATGCGTTGAAAAAGACGAGAGGCATATCGTAATATTGACAGAATCATGTTCAATGCACATCAATAGCGCTTTACCTGAGTGCATGTGCACATCTCCTTGCCTCTCCTCACTCCGTGTGGTGTGCTTTGGCCCTATAAATAGATCTGAATCAAACACATGCCCCTGATGAAATCCAAACATCTGGGGCTGAGTTTAGCCAGGTAGCCCAATTCTGATATTTTTTTCACTAATTGTTTTTTTGACCAATCCAGATCTGAAAAGGATCTGAGGTGAAAAGATATGATTTGATTGGTCAAAAGACCAATAAGTGGAAAAAATATCAGGATTGGGCTGGCTGTGTAAACGCAGCCTTATAAACGTGGCCATTGGTAGCCTATTGCTCTTTTTCTCATGCTTACTTCCTGTTATGTCCCCTGTAGCTCAGTTGGTAGAGCATGGCGCTTGCAACGCCAGGGTTGTGGGTTCGTTTCCCACGGGGGGCCAGTATGAAAATATATGCACGCACTAACTGTAAGTCGCTCTGGATAAGAGCGTCTGCTAAATTACGAAGAAAATAAAATATGTTGCCATTCAGTATGGGGCAGATCAATTAAACCCGCACTGCAGAAAAAACACTTCACTTCTGAATTCTTGCAAAATCAGTTTTCATGCAACTGTGTCTAATTTATATAATTTCATGACATGCATTGGGCCTCCATTATTTCCTTGCATTGTGGGTTTAGTTTAATTCAATTCATGGATAATACATGGATAATATTGCACAAATGACCAATTTAGACACAAAGAGTAGAAATATAGTTTCATCTGAAACAGCAACAAAGAGAGACAACAGTAACCGTATTTATTTGGAAATGGGATAGAACATACACTGCTGTTCAAAAGTTTGGGGTCACTTAGAAATGTCCTTATTTCGAAAGAAAAGCAATTTTGTTGTCCATTAAAATAACATGAAATTGATCAGAAATACAGTGTAGACATTGTTAATGTTATAATTGGCTATTGTAGCTAGAAACGGCTGAATATCTTCATAGGCGTACTGAGGCCCATTATCAGCAATCATCAGTCCTGTGTTCCAATGGCACGTTGTGTTTGCTAATCCACGTTTATCATTTTAAAAGGCTAATTGATCATTAGAAAACCCTTCTGCAATTATGTTAGCACAGCTGAAAACTGTTGTGCTGATTAAAGAAGCAATAAAACTGGCCTTCTTGAGACTAGTTAAGTATCTGGAGCATCAGCAATTGTGGGTTCGATTACAGGCTCAAAATGGCCAGAAACAAAGAACTTTCTTCTGAAACTTGTCAGTCTATTCTTGTTCTGAGAAATGAAGGCTATTCCATGCGAGAAATTGCCAAGAAACTGAAGATCTCGTACAACGCTGTGTACTACTCCCTTCACAGAACAGCGCAAACTGTCTCTAACCAGAATAGAAAGAGGAGTGGGAGGCCCCGGTGCACAACTGAGCAAGAGGACAAATACATTAGAGTGTCTAGTTTGAGAAACAGATGCCTCACAGGTCCTCAACTGGCAGCTTCATTAAATAGTACCCGCAAAACACCAGTCTCAACGTCAACAGTGAAGAGGCGACTCCGGGATGCTGACCTTCTAGGCAGAGTTGCAAAGAAAAAGCAATTTCTCAGACTGGCCAATAAAAATAAAATATTAAGATGGGCAAAATAACACAGACACTGGACAGAGGAAGATTGGAAAAAAGTGTTATGGACAGACGAATCGAAGTTTGAGGTGTTCGGATCACAAAGAAGAACATTTGTGAGACGCAGACCAAATGAAAAGATGTTGGAGGAGTGCTTGATGCCATCTGTCAAGCATGGTGGAGGCAATGTGATGGTCTGGGGGTGTTTGGTGGTGGTAAAGTGGGAGATTTGTACAGGGTAAAAGGGATCTTGAAGAAGGAAGGCTATCACTCCATTTTGCAACGCCATGCCATACCCTGTGGACAGCGCTTGATTGGAGCCAATTTCCTCCTACAACAGGACAATGACCCAAAGCACAGCTCCAAACTATGCAATAACTATTTAGGGAAGAAGCAGTCAGTTGGTATTCTGTCTATAATGTGGCCAGCACAGTCACCGGATCTCAACCCGATTGAGCTGTTGTGGGAGCAGCTTGACCGTATGGTACGTAAGAAGTGCCCATCAAGCCAATCCAACTTGTGCAATCCAACAAGGTGCTTCAGGAAGCATGGGGTGAAAACTCTTCAGATTACCTCAACAAATTGACAACTAGAATGCCAAAGGTCTGCAAGGCTGTAATTGCTGCAAATGGAGGATTATTTGACGAAAGCAAAGTTTGAAGGACACAATTATTATTTATATTAAAAATCATTACAAAATCATTTCTAACCTTGTCAATGACTACATTTCCTATGCATTTTGCTATATTTCCTATTCAAACTAATTTCATGTATGTTTTCATGGAAAACGAGGACATTTCTAAGTGACCCCAAACCTTTGAACAGTAGTGTATGTCAAAACAAACCACAAATAAATCATTTTCAAATAAAAGTATTCAAAACATCTGAAATTATACTAAAAGCTTGAAATGCAGTTTTACAGTGACAATCTGGGTAGGACAATACAGTGTTTTAATTCTAGACTGCATGGCTTTTCTTTCCCTGTAGCCTACAGCTGTTGGGGGAAGCTTGCGCTGGGGTCCACTGCACTTCCTATTTCAAACAAATACTTTTCAACATCTGAATGACAAAAACACAGTTTGAATGAAAGCTAATATTGTTGTGGATTTGGTAGTTCCTGGTGGAATTTCTGAAAATAGTGCCATACAGCAATGCACTGCAAAACTGTATGCAGCATATGTGCAGTTTACAGCACACACCAAAACCTACTGTAATCTTGTGCTGGACCACAGACATTTTACCAGATTCCATTTAAACAAATACGAATGCTGAGGTATACTGCAAATACAGTAAGCTAAATGCTATTGAAACACTTAATCATGAGAAAAACACACACATTGAATCACATTAGGTTTACCTTGTTTGGTCAACTAAAAAACATGTTGAGGTACAAGCGACAAAAACACTTTCATAAAGCTAAGCCCTAAAGTACTTTCATATATTTCAAAAAGTATTATTTTAAAGTTAAAGGAGATTACTGATTTATGGTACTGCCTGCAAATGTAATACATCTCCTTATCTTCAGTTCATGCTAGTATGCATATAGTCACCAACATAATGAAATGAACAGAACCTGAAGGAGAGAAAGCCTGTTTTACTGACTGTATACCGTTGTTTGATTGATGAAATCTTTGGAAGTAACATTATGCTTTAGGATGGAGGGATCCGGGTTGGTCAGCAGTATTCTGCCACAAAGTACTCCTTTCTTATAGACTTACGATGTACCTTCCTCTTCCATTTTTCAACCTCTCAGAGTCCAACCAGGTGAGCCTGTTTAGGCCCCTATCACAGTTTAGTTTATATAAACAGCAGAAGTGTCACAATAAGGGTCTCTCCACCACACATGACTCAGTCCACTGTAATGGTTTCTCCATACTTACTATAGTAGCTACAGTATATGTTCAAGCTCGACAAAGGACAGTGGGGGTTTTGGTTGAGGGAGGCATCAAACCTGCCATGTCTTTATATCTCGCTGCCGCTCAAGCTTGTCACTCTGGATCCAGAGCAATCAGGATTTATGATTTATCTGAACCCTCATTGTCACGTTTGATCTGCAGTCTGGAGGTTTGGTCACCAAGTGACATTAAGCACTCTGGGCTAGCTCATTGTGAACGTCATCCTGGGGGCCTTCAGCAGTGGATCTCATATGCAATTTGTGAGTCGAGGAACAAACCTGTGTGATTCAGAAATAAGCCCTCCGACTCGGCTGTCACCGGCTCTGCCTCCCCGCCCTCCCCTGCCATCCTTCTCATTGTCCGTATATCAGGCTCCATCTGGGGCTTTGTGGGAGACAGCGCCTCCTGCTGTTGGTACCCCAAGGTGGTGGTAGTGGCTGTGGTGGAAGGTGGGAGAACGGGTTTAGCCCGGTTCAGAACATACATCTCGTGCCCGCGCTCATCCCGATACTCCTCCAGCTGGGCAAAGGTTGTTGGTCCGTCCGAGTAATCATTGACATACAGGATGCTTTCCTCCTTGTCATCTGTGTCCTTCTGCCGCTGGCGGTGCCGGCTGTAGATCATGGCCACCAGGAGAAGGGCCGTGAGGGCCAGCAGGGAGATCCCTATGGCGATGGCAGTCTGAGTAGCAGCTCCCAGCGCACTGAAGGCCATGCTGCCAAGGGCGTACAGGGGCTCTCGACTCACGTCTGACGACGTCGGCCGATTGGAGCGCAGACGAGGCCAGGATGGCGCGTAGGAGGCAGGGGACCAACTGGAAAAGGACGAAGAGTTGATCACGAGATGAAAGGTCACACGGGCCACCCCTCCAGCGTTCCAGGCCTCGCACTCATACAGCCCGGCGTGAGCCACTGTCACGTTACTGAGGAACAGCATCCCACTGCCCGTGTCTGGATCGAAGCGCTCTCCATCCTCCTTCTGGAGTCTCACCCGTCCTGCACCTGGATGTGCTGCATCCTCAGCCCCCACGGTCCCTACACCACCCAGGTCCTGCACCAGCCCCCGGGGGGAGAGCTGCACCTTGCCCTGGGAAGCCTTCTTCCAGGTGACCTGCGGCCGGGGGTAACCAGATGCATGGCAGGAGACACGCAGGCTCTCCCCCAGGCGCACGGCCAGGCGGCGGGGTTCCAGCTGCACCAGAGGGGGGATGCACACCAGGCTGTTAAGAGGCACCTCCACCAGGCTGAGGTGGGAGAGGCGGGGCGGCTCAGAACACACAAGGCGCCGCTCGGCCGAGCTCAGCAGGCGCTGGCCCTCCTCATCGATCCAGCTGCGCAGCCAGTGCAGGGCACAGTCGCAACGCCACGGATTGTCTACAGTAGGAAGTTATCATTTGATGGGTGGGTGTGGCAAAGTCAACAAAGGGGGATGGAAAAGGATGCAACACAACATTGAGACAATTAAGACAAAACATTTGAAAGAGGTAATTCTATTTGAAGAACAAGGTCAATATATTTACTGTAGGCTTCTTTTTTGGTCCCACAGCCCTACCCCAAATCCTGTCCCTTGGCCCTCACCTGTGACACGCAGCACCTGCAGGCTGACGAGGGGCCGCAGGGTGGCAGGGCCGATGGTGTGCAGGTTATTCCGGCTGAGGTCAAGCAGGGCCAGAGAGGACAGACCAACTAGAGCTTGGTCTCCCAGCATCTCAATGTTATTCTGCTGCAGGTGAAGCTCTTGAAGACGCTATGGAAGCAGGGATTGTAATCATTATTAGTAATGAATAGTGATATAATGTAGAGGAAGTGGTTTACGTTGAAGCGTCGATTGTTATGGTGGTGGAACTCTAGACAATTATCAGGACAAACAGTCTGTTTACAAGGGAGAAGGGGAACAGTAGCATTGGTTTGGCAAAACATTAACTGAGTGACTGATAATATGGGGACTGACCTGTAGGCCTCTGAAGGTATAGTCCTGTAGGCGAGTGATGTCGTTTCCTGCCAGGTAGAGGATGCGGAGGTGCTCCAGGCCCCTGAACATGTCTGCTGTGACCAAGTGGATGCGGTTCCCATTGAGTGCCAGCTCCAGAAGCTGACCCTGGCTCTGGAAGGCCCCGGGCTCCAGGGCTGAGATACTGTTGTTCTGCAGATACAGGTAGTGCAGACGGCCCAGCTGGGAGAGGTCTGACAGACGGATCTGCCCGATAGCATTGTCCTGAAGGAAGATTGTCTAAATGGAATAGATGAGCATAAGTAACAATAAGCATAACTACATCTGTAAACTCTAAGGAGAGTAGGTACGTCTGAGTGAGTGTATGGATGATTCAAGCCTGGCTATATTGTGTGGTGGGTGGTACGTGTGCGTGGATCTGGGAAACAGACATATAGACATATTGGGTCATTGCTAACCTGTGCGGAAGGTGAGACATGTGAGGGGATGTCCCGGAGGCCCATAGAGCCACACTCCACAGTCAGGCTGTAGCAGCGACATCCCACTGGACAGCCAATGGATGGGAGAGCGTGGAGAGATAATATCAGGATAGCCAGAAGGGAGAAGGCCATCGCACCAATAGGACAGAGATCCTAGAAAGAGAGACAGACAGATTGAGGAAATTGGTTTAGAGAGGGCAGGCTAATAATAGGGCAGGCTAATAATATGATATGCCATTTAGCAGACGCTTTTATCCAAAGCGACTTACAGTCATGTGTGCATACATTTTTACATATGGGTGGTCCCGGGGATTGAACCCACTAACCTGGCGTTACTCTACGCCATACTCTACCAATTGAGCTACAGAGGCTAAACTGGTTAAAGTAACAAAGAAATATATAATTTTGTTGACAATATCAAAATCTGGTAATTTGTGTATGTCATTGCGAACTCAAAGGTGCCATTCTTGCGAACATGAGCAACCATTTAAATGTAAACAGTTTCTCCGGCTCAAAATGCATATCAGCCAATTAAAATAGTCTATTTACTTGCACGTGACAGAACGCAAAATTGTAGCTGGTCCAGTCAGATAAAATGGCACACGTTAGCCCTATGCTATGTGGTTACACTTACATTTAGCCTTACAATATTTTATAGGCTATGCATTATTATAATCATCCACTTTGACACATGCGTTTTGAATCGAGCATGAAGGACCGGCAGTAACAGTTTTTTCCTCAACGAAAAAGCTTGATGTGAGGGGGGCTCAAACCCATGGTTAAAGTGCACTATTGATTTCGAGTCGACCGCTTTAGCAGTGTGTGCCTCCTAAAAGCGATGTTGATAAGAGTAGCCTACATGACTGCTATTTGACAAATCCATAAGGCTCTTTGTTTTTTTACGATGTACGATAAACATATATGTTGTAAGGACCTTATTTATATTTTTTTCATAAAAGCACATGGATGTGTGTGAAACAGATAAACAAAAACATGGGATTTTGTCATATACACTACCAGTCAAAAGTTTGGACACATTCAAGGGTTTTTCTTTATTTTTACTATTTTACTATTTTCTACATTGTAGAATAATAGTGAAGACATCAAAACTAAGAAATAACACATATGGAATCATGTAGTAACCCAAAAAGTGTTAAACAAATCAAAATATATTTTTGATTTTTGATTCTTCAAAATAGCCAGCCTTTGCCTTGATAACAGCTTTGCACACTCTTGGCATTCTCTCAACTAGCTTCACCTGGAATGCTTTTCCAACAGTCTTGAAGGAGTTCCCACATATGCTGAGCACTTGTTGGCTGCTTTTCCTTCACTCTGCGGTCCGACTCATCCAAACCATCTCAATTGGGTTGAGGTCGGGTGATGCAGCGCTCCTTCTTGGTCAAATAGCCCTTACACAGCCTGGAGGTGTGTGGGGTCATTGTCCTGTTGAAAAACAAATGACAGTCCCACTAAGCCCAAACCAGATGGGATGGCGTATCACTGCAGAATGCTGTGGTAGCCATGCTGGTTAAGTGTGCCTTGAATTCTAAATAAATCACTGACAGTGTCACCAGCAAAGCACCCCCACACCATCACACCTCCTTCTCCATGCTTCACGGTGGGAACCACAAATGCGGAAATCATTCGTTCACTACTCTGCGTCTCACAAAGACATGGCGGTTGGAACCAAAAATCTCAAATTGGGACTCATGAGACCAAAGGACAGATTTCCACCGGTCTAATGTCCATTGCTCGTGTTCCTTGGCCCAAGCAAGTCTCTTCTTATTGGTGTCCTTTAGTAGTGGTTTCTTTGCAGCAATTCGACCATGAAGGCCTAATTCATGCAGTCTCCTCTGAACAGTTGATGTTGAGATGTGTCTGTTACTTGAACTCTGTGAAGCATTTATTTGGGCTGCAATCTGAGGTGCAGTTAACTCTAATGAACTTATCCTCTGCAGCAGAGGTAACTCTGGGTCTTCCTTTCCTGTGGCGGTCCTCATGAGAGACAGTTTCATCATAGCGCTTGATGGTTTTTGCGACTGCACTTGAAGAAACTTTCAAAGTTCTTGAAATTATCCGGATTGACTGACCTTCATGTCTCAAAGTAATTATGGACTGTCGTTTCTCTTTGCTTATTTGAGCTGTTCTTGCCATAATATGGACTTGGTCTTTTACCAAATAGGGCTATCTTCTGTATACCAGCCCTACCTTATCACAACACAACTGATGACTCAAACGCATTAAGAAGGAAATAAATTCCAAAAATTAACTTTTAACAAGGCACACCTGTTAATTGAAATGCATTACATGTGACTACCTCATGAAGCTGGTTGAGAGAATGCCAAGAGTGTGCAAAGCTGTCATCAAGGCAAGGGGTGGCTACTTTGAAGAATCTCAAATATAAAATATATTTTGATTTGTTTAACACTTTCTTGGTTACTACATGATTCCATGTGTGTTATTTCATAGTGTTGATGTCTTCACTATTATTCTACAATGTAGAAAATAGTAAAAATAAAGAAAAACCCTTGAATGAGTAGGTGTGTCCAAACTTTTGACTGGTACTGTATGTGAAAACTGAAAATGTTTTCTAACCTTAGTAGCAGTTAGTAGCCTAGTCAAGGATGCATCAATGCAATATTGGCACACAACATTTTGTTACAGACCAATGGAACAAAAGTAATCCTTGAATTTGTTGGTTTAAAGTATCCCTCTAGTGGCCAGGGTTTACCTATTTTAAGAAATACCATTGGTTGGTTGATATATAGTCTAAGATCTTTGATAGGCTGATGGAGAATTTGTTCCAGGATATAAACACTGCCACCTGGTGAAGTTAGCAAAGGGCTAACTTGTGCCATGTTATCTGATGGGACCAGTTACAATTTAGTGTTCTGTCACGTGCAAGTAAATCAACAATTTCAATTGGCTGATACGCATTTTGAGCCGGAAAAACTGGGCTCCAAAATGTTCTGCCCCAGCACATAAACAAAATGCAAATGTCAGTACTCATGTTGCATGCTGTCACAATACAGTGTCACATAGTGTCAGATTAGAAAAAAGCGCAGCTTATTACATGGCTGTTGCTTTCTATGAAATTCATCCAGGTTGCTTCTGGGCTGACTTCTACAGACTGTCAATAATAATAGTTAGTCTTTTTTAAATGACTACACTATCAATTCAAGTATTGTCTATGCATCACATGTGTAAGGCATGCTATACTTGTATGTGGCTTCGGATAATGACTGTAAAAAAATGCCACAGAAACAAATTGGATGGAAATTAATTTTGTGTCACTTCAGTAGGCTAATGAAGCAGAGGGCCACTTAATTTTCACAAACTGATTAGGCACACTAATGCAATATTGAGGAGCCTTTATTAGGAAGATTCCATTGCCTGCTCTCCAAACATAAGCTGCTGCAGGCAGCTGTGGAAGTACAAGCTTGTGTTGACAGATAAGCACAACATTTCCTTGGAGAAGATAGGATCAATTCCAGACAGTGACCAGGCAGTGAGCATACATCTTCCTCTAATAAGCCTGACACCTAGCAAGGGCCTGGAGGTATTCATGAGGAGCTGTGATGTAGCTCCAGGGGAATAGGCTATGCGGCATCCATGGTGGTATTGATATGTTTTGTAACAGTAGCATATCATGGCCATGCCTCTAAGATCTGATGCTCCTGACTTCATAGCACTGATTGCATCTGAGAGGACTTTTGGGGTTTGTAGCCTATTGTAACTCTGCAATAAGTCAGAAAATGAGAATATGCCAAAACTGAATCATATCAAATATTCAGCAGATTATAATTATTTACACTACCGTTCAAAAGTTTGGGGTCACTTAGAAAAGTCCTTGTTTTCGAAAGAAAAGCAATTTTTTTATCCATTAAAATAACATAACATTGATCAGAAATACAGTGTAGACATTGTTAATGTTGTAAATGTCTATTGTAGCTGGAAACGGCTGATTTTTTATGGAATATCTACATAGGCGTACAGAGGCCCATTATCAGCAACCATCAGTCCTGTGTTCCAATGGCACGTTGTGTTTGCTAATCCAAGTTTTTCATTTTAAAAGGCTAATTGATCATTAGAAAACCCTTTTGCAATTATATTAGCACAGCTGAAAACTGTTGTGCTGATTAAAGAAGCAATAAAACTGGCCTTCTTGAGACTAGTTGAGTATCTGGAGCATCAGCAATTGTGGGTTCGATTACAGGATCAAAATGGCCAGAAACAAATAACTTTCTTCTGAAACTCGTCAGTCTATTCTTGTTCTGAGAAATGAAGGCTATTCCATGAGAGAAATTGCCAAGAAACTGAAGATCTCGTACAAAGCTGTGTACTACTCCCTTCACAGAACAGCACAAACTGGCTCTAACCAGAATAGAAAGAGGAGTGGGAGGCCCCGGTGCACAACTGAGCAAGAGGACAAATATATTAGAGTGTCTAGTTTGAGAAACTGGCGCCTCACAGGTCCTCAACTGGCAGCTTCATTAAATAGTACCCGCAAAACACCAGCCTCAACATCAACAGTGAAGAAGCGACTCCGGGATGCTGACCTTATAGGCAGAGTTGCAAAGAAAAAGCCATATCTCAGATTGCCCATCTTAATCTTTTCTTTTTATTGGCTGTTTCTCAAACTAGACACTCTAATGGTTAGAGTTTGCGCAGTTCTGTGAAGGGAGTAGTACACAGCGTTGTAAGAGATCTTCAGTTTCTTGGCAATTTCTCGCATGGAATAGCCTTCATTTCTCAGAACAAGAATAGACTGACGAGTTTCAGAAGAAAGTTATTTGTTTCTGGCCATTTTGAGCCTGTAATCGAACCCACAATTGCTGATGCTCCAGATACTCAACTAGTCTCAAGAAGGCCAGTTTTATTGCTTCTTTAATCAGCACAACAGTTTTCAGCTGTGCTAACATAATTGCAAAAGGGTTTTCTAATGGTCAATTAGCCTTTTAAAATGATAAACTTGGATTAGCAAACACAATGTTCCATTGGAATACAGGACTGATGGTTGCTGATAATGGGCCTCTGTACGCCTATGTAGATATTCCATAAAAAATCAGCCGTTTCCAGCTACAATAGCCAGTTACAACATTAACAATGTCTACACTGTATTTCTGATCAATTTGATGTTATTTTAATGGACAAAAAAAATGCTTTTCTTTCGAAAACAAGGACATTTCTTTGTGACCCCAAACTTTTGAACGGTAGTGTATATCTAGGCCTAGACAGATGGCTACACAGCCCCCACTACTTGGGTCCTACAACTAAATTACGATAATACGAATACTAATAATGTTACTACTAGGGCTACTACTAATAAATAATAATATATAATTAATTAATAATAGTCATGAGTTGTTATATCATAACTACTCAATGTAAATGGTTGCTCTTATTTATATTGTGCAGGCTGATAATTTAGCCTACAACAATACACTACCACAATAAATCAATATCTGATACAGCCTACACTGTGATAAAAACGACTAAACATTAGAATACACACTACCCAGTCCACATTACATCACCGTTTTTTTAAGAAAAAGAGGCACCATCGGTGGGCACATACCAGATAAGGATGGAGAGATGGCTATACAATTACAATCGCCCAGATTTCGAATGGATCCGTACGGAAGAGCGCGTTATTATTTCGATGGGAAGCACATATATATCGTATATATTGGTACGTTAAAATCATATTCTAACGGGATCGCCTCGGTAAAAGACACATCCGACGTTTTGAACACATTGTCCAAGGCTACTGTCGAGCCATTATAATGGCACAGGGCCACGCAAATAAATAGGCTACAGGATAATGTCCGATACGGGAAGGCTACAGTATATGGCCACCCTCCAAAATATAAGCTTCAAGCCGACAGATTTGTATTCCAAAAAAGGAAAAATTATTTTGGTAAATCAGGATTTCTCCTTTTTCTTTAACATCCTATGTTATCTTGTCACCCTTCTTGCGCACGCACTGTGTCATCCAATTCACTACGTTCCCCGTCTCTAGCCCCTCCCTTCCTCTCTCAAATGGATCACATAACAGCGTTACAGTTGAATTGTTACACTTGCTTTGTTTCCTTCTTGCCTTTTGCTTTCTGTGATCTATTCCAGATTTTCCTATCAAATAAATAGCTTGGATACCACTTTCTATCCCCTTTTTCTAAATCACACACAAATGCGCGCAAGCATACAGCCCCTGCCTCCGCCCACCCACAAGTACACACACGCTAGCCTTTCCCTTAGTCCTGTCTTTCTTTCATTGTGGTAACATTAAAGGTCTATGTCTTCATCACTAAAAGCTTTATCCACATTATTCCAATATAATAACAATATTACTATCTAATCCGTTTTAATGAGGAGGAGGATGATGATTGTAACCATTAGGATTTAGGATAGTAGGTGATAATCCATGACTGGATCCTTATATTCCTTCATGAGAGACAAATACAATGAGTGAGTAATGTGATCAGTGATATTAACTACTTTCAATGCATGAGGTGTTTCTCAATATAGGCCCAGTTTGAGATACAATGGGCATATGTGACAGACACTGTCAGTGGGGATAAACACAACACAAACATCCCTGGATACAAAGGCAAATTAGGTGGTGTCTTAGAGTTTCAGGATATTGAGACAAAAAGCCCTTTTTAGGCATTAACATTTTTTCCACTACTGTATAGGGGACTGGGGTCGCCTGCTGGTAAGACTGAGGAAGCTACCCAGATCAATAAAGTTGGTTGTGTTCTAGACAGGAGCCAGGCATCATGCAATGGAACACTGTGTTACTATGACCTCTACTGGCAGATTCCTGCTTGTTCAGGGATGAACATTATTATATGATTTATAATATATCATGTTCAATGTTTAGTCCTATAAGTCTGACAATTTACTTGAGAAATCACATTAAAGATACACATCTCATCCACAGACAGCTGAATAACATGAACATATTGTTCTCCCACATAGTACCCTTTAACCCAGATATACAGTGCCTTCGGAAAGTATTCAGACCCCTTGACTTTTTCCACATTTTGTTACGTCACAGCCTTATTCTAAAATTGATTAAATATTAATTTTTCCTCAGCAATCGACACACAATACCCATAATGACAAAGCAAAAAAAGGTTTTTAGAAATGCTTGCTAAATTATCATAAATAAAAAACAGAAATAGGAGCATGAGCCTATCACCTGTTTATGTAGCGTGAGGCAGCTTGATGTACGAATATACCCCCTGGACAGGACGCTAGTCTATCGCAGGGCCTTACCCCCAATCTGTCTCCTTAATGTTGAGTGTCAAGCACAGACGCATCAGGTCCCATTTTTACAGTCTTTAGTATGTCTTGGTCTAGGATCTAACTAACTCCCAACCTTCCAATCACAGGGCGGGCACTCTAATCCCAAGGCCACTGAGTTGGTATGATTTACTTTGAGTTAATGGCAGACATTTTTTATCTTTCACCCACCCCACTTTGATGTTGGTGTCCTGTGATTTTAAGACAGTTGACATTGAAACTCAAGCGTTTTTGGTGTTGCCCAAAATAGGTATAAAGCAAAATACTATCAATCACATCATGTACACTGTAAATGTAATCAATGATTTCAAAAAAGAGGGATCAAGGGTTCATTTTGAGTCTGACAAGACTCGTCACAGAAGCACCCTCTGAAGCAGTTAACGTTAGTGCCTTTACAGCACAGGGCCGGCTGCGCAGAATAATTTCCTTTAGGAAGATTGGAATAACACAATTTATTGGAACAGGAAGTTTAAATGTAAAGGTTTGATGAAATGTATTGAAAAAGTTAGCATTCCGATGTGGTAGAGAAGAAAACTAAAGGAACCTGGAAATGAGAACATTGGGAATGATTTGGAAGTGGCATTGTTTGCATTGGTTGCATTGGTTGCATTGGTTGCATTGGTTGCATTGGTTGCATTGGAGACTGGGGACACAGTGGCTGAAAGAGAAGTTTCATCCTGCACACCTTTAAACAAAGACATTAAATGATGCCACCTCAGGCAAATGTTTATAATTCAAAGTTTCTGCAATTTCAAGATTTTAAAACTATTATTAATAGTGATCAAGGGCCTCCATAAAAACAGACATGATAAGACAGTAGCCCAACTCTACTTGTCACACAAGTAGTCTGGAAGTCTGGGCAGCAATCTCTAAACCTTAGACAGGCCACATCACAGTAGCAACCTCTGAAACAGGAATTGTTGAGCCCAGTACAACACAGAGGTAAAACTGAAGAACATCTCCCTAGAATGCAAACATATAAAACAAGTGTTAAAATATGTTAAAAGGATAGGTATAATTTACCTTGCAACTGAAAGTAATTTCTGTAATATGCTATCATTTGCTCTGAATTAACAAAAATAGGATAATTCTAGTATCTGTTGCATTGCAGAGTAACTTACTTGAAGGTATAGTCACCTGAGGAACTGGGCCAGTTGTACTAGTATTTCCAGGAAATGCTGTTGTCAAATTGCCATAGGGATATTCAGTGGTATTGAATGACCCATCCGTAACGGCAGATACATTCTCAAAGTCATGGTCGGTTGTAGCCAAAGTTGTCCAGGCACTCTGAGAGTGTGTATTGGTAGATGGAGTTGTTGTATTTGATGGCAGAGCTGTTGCATTTGCCTGTTGAGGCATCACACCTGATGCTTTAGTTGTTGCAATAGATGAAGGGTTGTCTGTGTTTGACACTGGAGCTGAGGTACCAATCAGTGAGGGTGTTACATCTGTTGATGAGGGTGTTATACCAACTGATGAAGCTGTTGCATCTCATGATGAAGATGTAGAGAAGGATGAAGTGGCTGTTGAGCTTGACAGTGGATCAGTTGTGATCAGTGGTGGAGCGGTTTAGCTCGTTTGTGGGGCAGCAGTCACACTTGACTGTGGGGCTGCTGAACTGAATGGTGGATCAATAGTGCTTGGTGGTGGAGCTGCTTTTCTCAGAGGACAAACAGACAGACAAAATGTAGCCGTTCATGCAGGAGAAGAGTTGAGAAAGGTTTTGCATACCATTACATTGTCAAAAAAAGTTTGTTGACTGGAAAGCCTTCTATTTGTGTCATAATTAAGGCCGGATACCACAGGCTAAAAGGACATTTTTGCATATACTTATCAATTTGAATTTTTTGGGGTGTTTTGGTCCAACCTCTTAAGCTGAAAGTCCCCGAAATCGGGCACTAGAATTACTTTAAAAATATATGTATATGTTTACATGACTTATTTTATTGATTTCCCACTGTTTTATAAGTCAGAAGACAGCCATCCAGACCTTCCTAGGACCATTTTACATGGGTATACATCCTCTATCGAATAAACCTGTATTTGCCACCCTCTGGTGGTCAGCTGCATCATTACATCAATTAATATCACTTCATTGCAACGTTACGTAACATTTATCCAGCTCGACTGCGTCACGGCACAGACATAGCAAAGCAATCGTTGAATTTGTCTTGAGCAGGCGGATCTAAATACATAACTTTCATAGCTCTATGATAAAGAATGCGACCTACACACTTCCTTAACCTAAAATAAGCAAAGAAGTAATTTTGTGTATCAAACATTTGCTTTACGTCGGAAGCAGACACATTGCATATGTTCAGAATTACAAAATCGAGCCCTTTACATAGATAGCCCTTCTCCCCTTGTCTATAGGAGGGACGCATGCTGTTTAAATGCGATTTAGACATTCACAAATTTTGACTATTACTAATGTCATGATATGTTTGGTAAAGTATTAAAGAAGGTGAAATATTTTGGGTAGATGTTCCTAAAAACAGATTATAACTACAGTATATATGGACACTAATATTGCCCTCTTGCTACATTGTTGACTAAAGCCATAGCGAAACAGTGCAAAATGGCTTTAACTTTAATATTAGCATTTGTAAAAAGTTGAAATGTAAAAAATTATTACGAACATTTATCTTTTCGTTAGTTTATCATACTAACATGAATTGTAAACACTTTTAAATGGACATCCATCCATCATTTAAAAGCCCATTTCATAGAGCAGTGGTTCCCAACCTTTTTCGGTTACTGTACCACCAACTGAATTTTGCTCTGTCCAGAGTACCCCTGAAGTACCCCCTCCTGTACATTTTACCAGTAGGCCTATTATCTCATGAGTCTTCTCAAGTACCCCCTGTGGATAGGCCAAGTATCCCCAGGTGTCCTAGTACCCCTGGTTGGGAACCATTGTCATAGAGAATGTTACAAACTGGACTATATGTAGTAACTTAATTTGATAAGATGGTGATTGGGTCTAAATAAGTGTTTGGCGTTTGGTAGTCTGAATTCAGTGTCCTTGTCTTTAACTGCCATTTCCCACACGCCAACTCATTTTCTCAGCCTTAGAAGCATCTGCATTCACCACATTTTGTGGGGTTATCCATAGACGTATTCTTCATACTTATACATAGGGAATTGTTGATACACTCTAAAAATTAGGGGTTCAACAAGGGTTCTTCTAAGATTCTCAAAGTTCTTCGAAGAACCTTAAGGTTCTTGGCACTGAAAATTGCCCCCAAAAGGTTCTTCCAAGAACCCCATAGGAGGTGGGGTTCATCGAGGAACCTCCTTAGTTGGTGGGAGTTCTTGCAGGAACCTAACTGCCCAAATGAAATATTTGGATTTGAAAGGACGGCAGGTGCAGGCACGTAATGAAACATTTTAAGATCTCCTAAATTTAAGATAAGGTTTGTCCCTTGTATGATCTAAATTGACATTGTTTTATGATGATACCTTCTATCTTTTCATATTTGTGCAAATCTTTCTAAAACAGAAAATTGACACAATTCAATGGATATCAATCAACAAAAAGATAAGAATATGTATGCTATAAGAATATGTTGAAGGCTAGCTGTATTGGGTGCAGATGAATGAACTGCTCACTTTTGTGTTTGTGTCTGCAGGTATACAGACGAGGAGGCATATAAAGGTATGTCAATTGGTATTGGTATGTTATGCAGATCACATGTACCATCCTCCTCCCTTACCTCTTCAATGAAAATCCCATAGGTGTCACGCCCTGGCTCTGGGGACTCTAGTATGTTGAGCCAGGGTGTGAGTTTTCATTTGTTTTTCGTTCTAGTATTTCTATGTTGTCCAGTGTGGTTCTCAATCAGAGGCAACGTGTATCAGCTGTTGCTTGTTGTCTCTGATTGGGAACCATACTTAAGCAGCCAGTTTTCCCACAGTGTTTGTGGGATCTTGTTCCTGTTGTAGGTTTGTGTTTTGCACCTTTGGACGTCACGTATCGTTTTTGTTATTTTGTTCGTGTATCAATAATAAAAGCATGTTCGCAAATAACGCTGCGCCTTGGTCCTCTGTATACGACGAGCGTGACAGAAGATCCCACCAAGACAGGACCAAGCAGCGTGAAGAGGAGAGAGGATGGACCTGGGATCAGTTGAGTAGGAGTCTCGGCTGGGCCAAGCCAAGTGAAGAGCAGAGAGGTTGGACTATGGAGCAGTGGATTAAGAGTCTCGACTGGGCCAAGCCAAGTGAAGAGCAGAGAGGTTGGACTTTGGAGCAGTGGGGTGAGAGTCTGGCGAGAACTAGGGAGGCCTGGTCCACGGGGAGGAGAGACACCCAGAACATTTTTAGGGGGGGGGGCTCACGCCGTGGACGACGGGGCAGCAGGAGGCCGCGATAGAGCGGTCCAGCGGGTTGGCAGAGGAGGCCGCCAGGTTAAAGAGGCCACTGGTCACAAAGGGGAAGGAAAGTGTAGAGGTACGGCGAGAGGTACTGGGGTGTGTTACCAGTCCGGTCCGGCCCGTTCCTGATCCCCGCGTAGGGCCAGTGGTGTGTGTCCCCAGTACGGTCCGGCCTGTTCCTGTCCCTCGCATCGAGCCTGTGGTGCGCGTTGCCAGCCCGGTCCGGCCTGTTCCTGCTCCCCGCATCGAGCCTGTGGTGCGCTTCGTCAGCCCGGTCCGGCCCGTTCCTGTTCCCCGCACCAAGTCAGTGGTGCACTTCGTCAGCCCGGTCCGGCCCGCTCCTGCTCCCCGCACCAAGTCAGTGGTGCGCTTCGTCAGCCCGGTTCGGCCCGCTCCTGCTCCCCGCACCAAGTCAGGGGTGCGTTTCGTCAGCCTGGCTCGGCCCGTTCCTGCTCCCCACACCAAGCCAGTGGTGTGCGTCATCAGTCCGGCACAGCCCGTGCCTGTTCCACCGGTGCCTGGTTCGGCACGGGTCAGCTGCTTCACGCCGGAGCTAGAGCAATCCGCTCCACCAGTGTGCAGTCCAGCTCCGGTCAGCAGGGCCAGACCGGACCAGGGAGAGAGGGAGTGGGGATCATGCCCGGAGCCGGATCCGCCGCCAAGGCGGAGTGCCCACCCGGTCCCTCCCCTGTGGTGTTTGGTTGGCGCGGTCGGAGTCCGCGCCTTTGGGGGGGGGTACTGTCACGCCCTGGCTCTGGGGACTCTAGTATGTTGAGCCAGGGTGTGAGTTTTCATTTGTTTTTCGTTCTAGTTTAGTATTTCTATGTTGGCCAGTGTGGTTCTCAATCAGAGGCAACGTGTATCAGCTGTTGCTTGTTGTCTCTGATTGGGAACCATACTTAAGCAGCCAGTTTTCCCACAGTGTTTGTGGGATCTTGTTCCTGTTGTAGGTTTGTGTTTTGCACCTTTGGACGTCACGTATCGTTTTTGTTATTTTGTTCGTGTATCAATAATAAAAGCATGTTCGCAAATAACGCTGCGCCTTGGTCCTCTGTATACGACGAGTGTGACAATAGGCCTCTACATTATGGACAAGGTATGCGTATGAAAACAATTATCAAAACAGTTTTTTTCATTCACATTTACCACAAAAACCAAGGAATGAATACTGTTGTGTGCATGTTTTGTTAAACATCTATAATTAAAACAATTTGGATTCACAGACTTCACCCTCCCTACACCTCTGATGAATATAACAGGAAACATGTTCGATCATCATGCACTGCAAAATAATTCTGGATATGGATACGGAGAACATCAACACAATAACATCAACACGTCAGAGGATATACCCATTGGACTTGGGGCTCTGCTGGGAGTTTACCTCATATTTTAAAAAATGTATTCTGTTTTTTGCCACTAAAATCATAATAAACACTGACAACTAAAATATTTTGTTGTTATTGTTATGCGTATTATTATTATTAATAATAATAAGGGAGGGGGGGTAGTTCAAAAATGAACCCCTAAAGGTTCTTCAAAAGGTTATTTGAGGATCCATTAAAAGGGGTTATTTGAAGAACCCTTTTAAAGGGTTCTTCTAAGAATTTATAGGGGTTCCCCCACAGTTTCAATTTGAAGACCCCTAAAGGATCCTCCAGGAACATTTACTTTTTAGAGTGTATGTTGTCACATTTTTATTGATGACATGTTCTTCAAAATAATTCACCAAAAATGCATTTTACTTACCTTTCTTTAGTATTTTACAGATAGAAAGATGAAAAAAGTATTAATCTACAATCGGCTATGTGTAAGTCTGGTCCTGGAGTGTCTTAACAAAATGAAAACCAAATATTTAGGCTGACTTCATCCAGTGTCCAGAAAAATTGATTTACGTGATACGCAAATATGTGCATATTTAATGAGACATATCTCAGAAAAATTGTAATACAAAAATGTATTATATTTCTGTCCACATTTAACTGGTAAAAGTTTATTGTGATATGATTAAGGGAAAAAATACCCTATTAGGGTGTGGTGCCTGGCCTTAACAACAGTACTATTTTGGAATGTGTTATTCTCACGTTGATATGGGATAACTAGTGTACAGCACAAGACTAAGTGGCTAAAATGTAAACATAACATGTATATTCATATATTCATGTCCTTGACCATTAATTGTCATGTAAAAAAAGGTACATCTATGTGTTTATGTGTGTGCTCTCACTGTCAATTTACAGTGTGAAGGATCAACAGAAGAGCAATGAGTACAGTGTAACAAC